GAAGAGATGACTGCTAATAAAAGAAGTTTGGGCAAAAGAGAGCTAAATCCTGACCTCACATACAAACAAGAGCAAGCACTCTTAGAACAGTGCTGCACAGTAATGTGAAGAATCCTCCACAGAGCAGCCTGAGACAAACAGAGGTTCCAATGAGGCCAACACAACACATGGCAGCCAACTTTCTGGTGCTTTCCAGTGTAATGCTACTTAGAAAAGCAAACAAAAAACACACAAGACAATTCTAACTATTGTCACAGTCTCTACCTACCCGCCTTCTTTTATCCATTGTCTCATAATAAATGTTGACAAATTCATCTGCAGCTCTACAAGCTTGATCCACATACGTTTTGAAATCCTGCAGAGAAAAAAATAATCATACAGATTAATTAAGTGAAGCCTTTTTATGCAACCTGCTCACCTACACCATTTCTCCAGCAAGGTGCTCTGGCTGGTTTTTAATCCCCACTTAAAGACTGTGTCAAGTAACACTGAAATTGATTCCAAACTCCTACCCTACTTGCATGACTTACCAGCTTTTAGCCAGGTGACAGTTTTAGGATTAATTTTGAATGCTGATCTATTTCTTGTGTTTAAATTCTAAACATTTACATTGAAAAATGGGCTACAGTGGGCTGCAAGTGGCATGAACATGCAAGCAGTCAGTGAAAATATTTGTCATTGTGATGGCTATTCTGAAATAAAGGAACAAGATTTATTCAAAGTATTTCTGAAAACTGGCAAGAACCCCATCACACAACCACCACAGCCTCAGTTTTTAAAAACACCTTTATACATACATGTATAAAATGCAGCAATGGATATACAGACATAAAAATGAGAACAAGCACTGACACTGGATGTGCTCCAGTACCAATCACTCCTGTGCTACATCCACAGGTAAAATCCAAACACTCCTCATGTCTCACTATTTCCTTACTTTTCACTACTGTTACCCACCCAGAGTGCCCGTGACTGCACTGCCATCGGGCTGGTTTAGCTCTTTGGCCCCTGAGCTCCTGCAGACCCTGCCCTCTGACATCAGGTAAGCAGGGTTCTGAATCTCTGTCCATACATCTACAAAACTGCATTTGATTGTGTTCAAACATTTTGTTTAAAATACTGTAATTTATTGTTATTCTATTTCAGCATTATATTCTCAATATTTGCAACTCAATCAGCACTTCACGATTTAACTAGGTGCATTTTCTTGGCAGTCTTCACACCAGAACTCCCACAAATTCCTCCAGCATTACCACAAGAAACACTTCTATGAAGAGAAACCTCCGTACTCCAAAATACTTATGGCCTACCAAACAATCCGTGCTTCCCCCACGGAAACAAATACTATGTTACCACATACTACTGTTCTGATCTCCTTCTGGCAGGACACAAGCCTGCTCTTCACCTTCTTATCTTCTCCAGCAGTTTCTGAACACACAGGCAAATTCCAAACACTCAGGACAAAGCAGTCTTAATAACTGGAATGAGCCGTTAGGGTGCCCAAGATATAAGTTAAATGCAAAAAAAAAGTTTTGATACTCCAGCCAAGTTCTTTATAACCATAGACCAGCAGACATTTTTAGATTCTGAGAACAATTTAGGTTGAAAGAAACTTCTGGAGACCATCTGGTCCAAATCCCTGCCCAAAGCAGAGCCAGCTTCCAAGCCTGGTCTAACACCAAAGTCCGATCTGACCGCTCAGGGCTCCATCTCCAGTCGTGTTTCGAACACCGCTGAGGACGGAGATTTCTCGCTTTGTTCGGGCTCCTGCCCCGATATCTAACAACCTCACACAGGAATCTTTCTTACTACTAAACAGGAAACGCATACTTAGAAAGAACCGACCAACGAACCCCAGAACCACCCCGAGAGGACCCCGGCGGCGATCCCAGGAAGCCGGCCGGGAGCACGCCCCGCGCTGAGGCGCTTTCCCGCTTTCTCTCCTTCCCTCCCTTAGCCCCCGCCACC